AAATATTTTCATTTTTGCATCTCTTATATATAAATACATATATTTAGAAGAAAATAAATCACTTTAAGGAAAATTAAAAGCAAAACTTTGTCAAACAGGTGTGATGGTTTGGAAATTATAGAAAGCCAAACTCTTGTGAGAACAAAAGTTGTTGGGAAGAGAATGAATGATAAAGAAGTTATCACACACTGCTGATTTGGGGGGCAGTGCTGGAGGCCGAACTCAGGACCTTGTGCTTGCTAGGCAGGCACTTACACCACTGAGGTCTCTCTCTGGTCCCCGGACGTGTGTGTGTGTGTTCCTTTGCATTCCCTTTTGGCCTGAAGGGAAAGTGGACATTATTATAGAGAGTAATTTAGCAGCTATCTGCTAGATTTCGATGTCACAATATAGGAATAAAGTCATGAAACACAAGTCCCAGGACACTGGGTATGGAAGCACACTAACTACCACAGACAGAGGATTTCCTTAAAACATGAAGAGCAAACAGCAAAGTTAGCATAGTGCAATGACATTTATTAATGATCATTCAAAGGGGTACCTGTGAGCTTTTCAATCATGAGTCACTACGAATGTCCAAGCCCCCTCCCCTTAAATTGTGATCAATTGGTACTGAGTCAGCATGGCATAGTTTTTCCAAAATTTCACGTGGTCATAATGTTCAGTCATGGTTAAAGGTCACTTAAAGGTCACTGCAGCTTTATTCTAAGTCAGCATCTCCTGACTCATGACCACAGATCATTTGTGTTGGGACCACCTGGTTCTTGTCTAACATACGAGTATGGAGACTCTACATCTAAGGCAAAGGAATCCGCACTTGAACTAGCTTGCCTAATGATTCTTTGAGCGTAAGTTTTAGAGAAATGCTCAAAGAGGTACCTCACACTGTTATGAATAACAATTCAAACTGGTTTATTATTATTCTTTGGTATTTTGCAAAAAGATATTTTGATAGAAACAGATTAAATGTATTTGTGGTTTCCCATAAAGACTCACAACTGTGCTTGATATAATTCTCAACGGTAGATCCACACAGAAACAATCCAGATCTTTATGAAGAAATAACTAACTTACTAGCCAAAGTTCAAACTCCAACCTACAAGGTGAGGGTACACTTTAGCAATGAGTACTCTTCTGTGTGTTTCTTCTCCAATTTATTTGTTCTCCAATCATTTCATACACATACCTTGATGGATCCAAGGGCCCCAATTGCTACTTCGGGTGGCAAGATCACTGCTTTGGCATAAGTACCACCAATCTAAGCAAAAAGAAGGAAGGAGGGAAGGCAGGAAGGGAGGGAGGGAGGGAGGGAGGGAGGATGGAGGGATGGAAGGAAGGATGGAAGAAAGAAAACAACACAACACAAAAGGAAAAAGAAAAGAGACACAGTAAGCCTTCAGGGAGAACGGTAAGTGACATTTCATACTTTCAGCAGAGCACATGATCAGAATAGCCACAACGCTGCTTATGAATTGAACCCCTTACTCACCGATCCAATATTGGAAAGAGTAAATGTCCCTCCGGCAAGGTCAGCAGTGCTGAGCTGACCCAGGGAGCCCAGATTTTGGAGGCGGTTCAGCTCGGTGGCAATCTCAAACACAGAGCGGACCTGAACGTTCTTCACATTAGGAACAACCAGCCCCTGCTCGGTATCCATCGCGATCCCGATGTTGTGAGCAGCCTAAGAAAGAAAACCGCTCTTGAAGCTACTTTAGTCAGGTTGGCAGTGACTCAAAAGATATAATTTTAAAAGGATTTTTATGGTTTTTCTGACAAAAATAACTTTGTTGGTAGGAACACAGGTTAGTCGTGTGCTACTAGCGGACTGCTGAGCTATTACAGACTTCCTGCAAAACGCTTGACAATAAGTGCTGTAGGTGTGTAATGTATTAGGTGAAAAAGGACAAAGGCAAGTTAAGGAAAAATATGCAAAATTTCATATATTCTTAAAAGAACATAAAATGAAACTTTGTAAAACGTGTAGTGTTAGCAATTTCAACTGAAGAGAGGACAAAGATTGGGGGGGTCCTTATTTATCCAGAGAAAATTTCAAGTCTAGATGGAAGATACATATCTCAGAATAGTGAATTATATTTGGGGCATGGATTGAAGGTAAATATTATTTTTTCTTTTCATATAGAAACTTTTATTTAAAAAGCATATGTAAGGGCCAATGAGATAGTTCAGCAGACTAAGAGCCTGCTTAGGCAAGTGCAGGGACTTGGATTTGATCCCCGACACCACATGCAGTCCTAGCCCCACCCCTGGGCACACTGAGCTGGCCACGGACACTGGGTGTGGTGGCACAGGCCTGTAATCCCAGCACTGGGAGGCTGAGACAGGAGGATCACTATGAGTCCAAGCTGCATAGAGAGACCCTGTACCAAATATATTAAAAGGAAAAACATATATAATATGATCTATGTCATAAAATTCTTGGTATAGATTTTAAAATAGCATAATAGAAAATACAAAAACCTAATTTATTTGCTTATATTTTTTGTGTATTTATTGTCTAAGTTTTAAGCATCATTATGTTCCAGTAGGAATTTTATTTTCTTGTAGCATATAATCAGGAAGTATTAAACCAAAACCAAAGACAACTGGCTGTATTAATCACATGAGAATATTTTAGGATTGACTTCCCAGAGTATCTACACTTGCTCTAATTATCAATTTTTAATGAGAAATGTACATTTCTCATTAAAAAGATCAACATCCCATAAAGTTGTCAGTCTTAAGAAGTATTCACCCCAAACAGAAGAGTTCGCTCAAACTGAATTCAATTTTTTAACTACTTTTCTTACCTAAATTATTCTCATTTTTTAAACTCCAGGGAATTTAATCTTGAGAAAGCTGCTTGGAGTAATTAGGGGAGGCTACTTAGAGTGGGGTCCGTAGCCTGCGTGCGCTGACACATCTTAATTTCTTTCCATCCCCTACTCCTGTTCAACTCTTTTTCAGGGGGAGGGGTGGGTACCAGGATCGAGCGCAGGACCTTGCACATACCAGCAGGCACGTATGCCACCGAGCTATATCCCAGCCTGCCTTCCAACTCTTGGTTGCCTTCCATTTGTTTTGTGTTTTTTTGATTCTTTTCTTTTTTATCCTCTCCCCTTCTTATTTGAAAAAGATCTTCCTACTTTCTATAGCTACCTTTTATTTTGCTTTTTATGCATATTTTGAGTTCTCCATAGAAGAGAAATTATGTGGCATTTAAGCTTGTATGTTCGGCTTATTTCATTTCGTATTATAGTCTCAGTGCCAGGAGTGGTGGTGCTCATTCATAGGCCCAGCACTTAGCAGGCTGAGGTAGGAGGATCATTGTTAGCTCAAGGCCATCCTGGGCCGCATAGTGAGTTCAGGACACACCTGAACTATATAGCAAACTTTGTCAAAAAAAAAAGAAAGAAAGAAAAAGGTCTCAAGGTACGTCCTTTCACCAGTGCATGCCTCCCGCTTATCATTCTTCAGGGCAGAATAGTGCTCCACTGTGCAATGGAAGCACATCCTCGTTGCCTGCTCACCCGTCAGGAGCACACAGGCTAGTTCCAAGATTTAGCTCTTATCAGCTGTGCTGCTATGAATATAAACACTCATGCATCACTGTAATACCTAGAAGGGACAGCAAGACATCCTGGTTTTACTCTTTGGGAAATCTGCACCCTGACTCCCACGTGGTTGTGCTGGGCCACATGCCTCCCAATAGCGACGGCCTTCTTTTGCCCCTGCACCCTCGCCAGCGTTTGCTGCGACTGGCTCTCGTGGGGCGAGCCGTTCCTAAGAAGGCTGCTGTAACAGCCAGGGAGGCTGAATATTTTCACGTACTTATCGGCCACTTGTGTTTCTTCTAAGCAGCGTCTCTTCATCTCACTAGCCCAGTTTTCACCGATCTTTTATCTGAGGGGGGTCTGATTCCTTTGAGTTCTTTACGCACGTTGGGTGTTCGTCCCCAGCCCAAGGTGTAGCTGGCAACTGTTTTCACATTCCATAGGTTGTCTCCTTACTCCGCTGTTCCGTTCGTGGTGAGAACCCTTTCCATCTGGTGTGAGCCATGTGCTGGCGCTTGCTATTTTACTTTTTCTCTGTCTGGGGCTCTGCTCAGGAAGCCCCTGCCTACGCCTATCTCTTCAAGAGTTTTGCCTATTTTATCTTTTAACAAATCAAGTGTTCCTCTTTTACCATTTAGATCACTGATCTATTTTTTTCTATATTTTTTATTTTATTGAGAAACAAATAGCAGTGAGACAATTTCAAAACTGATTAATCAGATAGTTTCAATAATTAATACATTGTACACTGTTATCTTCTTAGTGGTTATCCACAGTACAAGATACAGAAGGATATCCTGTCCAAATACTATCAGTACAAATCTTTCTTCTCATTGGATTAAGTGAAAGTCGCTGTATATCTACCCTATTCTGTACATACAGATACAAAATAGTCCTTCTTCTGTATTCCCTTTTTTTGTTTATTCCTGTCAGAGATGGGTATTCCACTGGCATCTAAATACGCTAGGTGCGTGAATTCAGCAAAACAATCCAACACAGTCCAGCAGTCCACTGATCTATTTTGATTTCAGCTTAGTACGTGGTAAGTGACATGGGCCTAGCTTTAATCTTTGCATATGGCTACCCAACATCGCCAGCACCACTTATTAAAGAGGCCATCTTTCCCTCCAGTGTAAGCTTTCAGCCCCGCTGCCAAAGCTCAAAGAGCTGACTGTGCCTGGTGTGGCTCCTATACCTTCCTTTCTGTTCACTGATCCACATGTCTGGTTCTTGGCCAATATCACGCTGTTTGTAATCACTGTAGCTTTGTAATATAATTTCAAACCTGAGATTGTGATGTCTCCTCCTTCTGGGTCTCTCCTGGTTCCACATAAATTGGGATTATTTTCTATAGATTTGTGAGTAATGCTATTGGTACTTTGGTTGGTGTTGGGTTAGGATTGTATATCATTCTAGGAAGGATGGACATTTTGACTGTATTGGTTCTGCCTATTCAGGAACAAAGGACATCTCTCTATTTTCTTTCTTTCTCTTTTTTTGTGTACAGGTTTTCACTATGCAGCTCAGACTCGTAGTGATCCTCCTGTTTTCTGCCTCCCTAGTGCTGGGATTATAGGCATGCACCACCATGCCCAAACTCATCTTTCTATTTTCTAATGTCTTCTTTCATTTCCATTTGTTTTCATAATGACATAATATTGTTGTAGAGGGCTTCCACCTCCTTAGTTAGGCAAATTCCTAGGAATTTAATTTTTCTCGATATTAATGTGAATGGTTCTGCTTTTCTACTTTTTTCCTCAGTGAGTTCATTATTTTTGCACAAGAATGCTATTGATTTTTGTGTGCTGGCTCTCTATCCAGTATACTGTTGAATTAATTTGACTATTAACTGTAATTCTAGGGGTATTTTCATGGATTTTTTTTGGAGGGATCTTGCAAATAATGACATTTTGACTTTGTCTTTTCATATATAAATGTATTCCTTTTATTTTTTTTGTCTCTTGTCTGACTGCTTTGGCACATGTTTTGAGGACTATGTTGAACAGGATAGTGGACATCTTTCTCTTGTTCCTGATTTTAGGAGGAAAGCTTTTAGTTTTTATTCCTTTAATATATCAGCAGTAGGTTTGTCAAAAATGACTTTTATGACAATTTAAAAATCTAAACAGTATCATTATTAACCAGCAAAGGCATGGACAACAAATTATACTTAATTTTCTGTGTGATGACAGGAGGGAAACCAAGGGCTTTGTGTGCTCCAAAATTTAGTGCTTTACACTTTTATATCCAGCCTTCAGAAGGGTGACTACCTGAGGTACCACAGAAGCCTAATCTTTGCACAATCTTCTACTGATAACAAGTACGTTCACAATGCATAGCCAACCTTATACGTTATAGTCTGGCAGTTTTCATCCACCGAAGAATTAAGGATCGGAAACTGCAGTAATCCCAAAGAAGCAGCCTGTTTTAACAGAAAGAGAATGGAACGTTGGTACTTTCAACCCTTAAAAACCAGAGGATTAAAAGCAAGGAAAGATATGAAAGGAGACTTATGCTGAATTTTATTTAAGTCTGCATATACTGAGGCATATTACTGCATTTTCATGGTTAGCTTCAAGCAACATAAAATTAGGTCATCCTAATCATCTAAGGAAAAAAATAGCTGGGGGTGGGAGTGCATGCCTGTAATCCCAGCTCCTCAGGCAGCTGAGGCAGAAAGATTGCAAGTTCCAGGCCAGCCTGGCAACTGAGCTAGGTCCAATCTCAAAATAAAATAAAAAGAGCTGGCACTATAATTCATTGCTCCCTTAGCTCAATCACCAGTCACAAAAAGAGAAAATTAACAAACACTGCAGATAGTTTGTAAACATCAAGAAGATTTTCAAAATAATTATACGGATTAAACAAACTTCAAAGAAAATGTCCCAGTTCTGACTTCCTCATGGTCATGCAGTATCTTAACTTTTTCCATGAGAAGCAAACCAGTAGTTCAAAAGTACAGCAGGAAGCTGGGGATGTAGTTCAGTGGCACAAGCGCCTGCTTGGAAAGCACAAGGTCCTGAGTTGGATTCTGGTACAAAAAACAAAAACAAAACAAAACAGCAGGAATCAAAATGCAAAAAACAGATAAGCGACTTCCCTGTGCAGAAAGCACAGGTGATAAGCTTTCAGAATGCACTGAGGACAGGAAGCCAGTGCTGCGCCCGCCGGTGTCCTTGCCAAGTGAAGGTCAAGGTGAGTTCAGACACGTCCATCAGAGCCCAAGCTTTCTGAACAGCACTGTTGTGTCCTCCGGTCTGCCTCCCCCTAAGCTCAACCCTTCTTTTCTTCTTCTGTCTCTAAGAGCAGTCCTCCTTGTCTAAAGTCATGCTCCCCACCTGCTTCCAAAATGCCCTTCATATTTAAAGGGCTCTCTGCCCACCCAGGAACTAGCACTGCATTTGGTGTCCATTACACTTAAAGAGACAGCAAAATAAAAATGTTTATGATTGTTCTTTTTTAAAAAAATTGTCTTTCTCAACTTCCTTGTCTTTTCTCCCATTGTGCTATTTCTGGCTGTGGGTTGCTGGCCTTGACAGAAGAAAAGAATCTAATCAAATCTTTGAATTAGAGAGTTAAGGTAGGAGTTTAAATATACAGAGTAGGTTTTCATAGTTAATGGTTTACTTAGAATAGGTCATGGAGGTAGCTCAGTGAAAGATAAATACAACAATAACATTTGCTGTACGTTCCTTAGTCCTTACGACTTGAAAGTTTCAACAAGCATTTGATCTAGTAACTGTAATTTTCATGTTCTTTATGTAAAAAGCCATAACTCAGGTCAATCTAAAAAGTTACATATAAAAATAGTGCTTTGATCCAAATTTTCTAAAAGGAAATACAAGCTAAGTGTCCTTTCTTCCTCTGTGTAATATTCTGTAGTATTTTCTTTTTCTCTAAGTCAAATCTGTACCTTTTTTTTTGTGTGGAACTGGGGATTGAACTCAGGCCCTTGTGCTTGCCAGGCAAGCGCTTATTCTACTGAGCTATCTCCCCAGCCCCAAATCTGTACTCTTGAGAATAAACACATTCAAAGTGATGCAATTATAATATGGCACTCTTCATTTTAAAATTAATATAACTTTAAGGTTTTTATAAATAAGAAATAAAGACGGAAATATGACATCATAATATTCTGAATCAGTTTTTGCCTGTAGGCAATATGGCCATCTGGTATAGAGTGAGGCAACAGAAAAACAGATGAAAATAAAATTGGAAGTGACCATGGACATTAAAGTCTGTTATACTAAGTGGAATTAAGATTATCCGGACCCAAACATAATTAGAGTGGTAGATTGAATTCAAATCCACAAAGCCAAATATTTTGGTAGTACTATACTCTCAAATGTTCTGAAACTTATATTTCATTTTAAAACAAAGTGCACTAGATTTTATTTTCAAACTATAGATATTTCATTCAAATTGCAACAATGAAGAAAAATGGCAAGAAGAAATTCAACATGTAAACAAATTTGCCCAAGATCAGTAAGCGGAACCTGACCCGAAATAACAGTGAGGCCGTCTTGCTGCCTAAGATAAATGTAAGACCCCATGGGGCGGGGGCTTTTCTCTTTTTTTGAGGTCCTCTTGCTATGTAGCTCCAGGCTGACCTTGAATTGACTCTAGCCCAGGATGGCCTCAGCTTTGGGTCAGTATCTACCACTCTGTCTTTCTTTTTTTTTCAGAGTGTTTTGTTTTCTTTTGTATTTTAGGGAAGGTTTACAGGGTATTCAGGGTCTCACTACTAGACCAGATTTGTAGTGATCCACCTGTTTACAGCCTCCCAAAAGCTGGGATTTCAGGCACGCGCAGCACGCCCAGTCTCAGTTGCCAGCTCGATGAGCCCCAGGGTCAGGGCTGGCGTGTCTCCACCTGCCTTCCACCATGTCTTCTCAGTATCTCTTTTCCTTGGCTTCTACTCATTCTGCAAATCAGGCAAGCAAGCTCCCACGTCAACCATGGCTCACTGGATCAGGGTGCACTGTCATTTCCACTCCAGTTTCTTTACTGAACCTTACTGTACACAACCTACGTAAGCATGTGACTGCTACCTACTTCCCTCTAAAGTTCTTTCTCCTCTCTGGGTCCAAGAGGGTGAAGCAACAGGTCCATTCTTGTACACGCCCCCCTGTGTTCACATCCCTTGGTAGTGCTGTTGTGAGCGCTAAGCTCAGTCACGAGACTTGGTTTTTGGCCAATGAAACAGGAATAAACTTTGATGTAAGAGAGCTGGCAGTGAAAAGCTTGGCTTTATTTCCTGTGAGACCATTACAAAGTCTGTCCTTGCGCCACTGAGCATGTCTGTCCCATTTCTTCATTCCTCTCTGTCCGCACTATGACACCACGTCCAGGCGACAGGCTGGGGAGATGAGGGAGACAGCCGGGAGAGAAGCAGGTCACCCCAGCCAGGTCTTCCCACTCCAGGAACCCTGCCAGTCTGTGAGCGACTGCAATGAAGGGAGACTCAGCCCGCGGCAGCAGCCTCAGCAATGCTCCTGTAAACTCATGTGAATCAAAGCAGCTGTTGCTCATGTTATTTATTTGTAGTTGTTGCTTATACCATTACATTAAAGCCAGGTAGTTGGCTCCTACGTGACCCTTTCCTGCTCTCCTGTGGACACAGCACGGCCTCCAGCCTCCAATCACCCTTTCACTGTTCTTGCCAACTCAGCTTCTGCTTCCACCTGCGAAACCCGTAGCTGCTGTCCCACTCATATAAAATTTGGGTGCCGCAACCCGTGTGTTTCAATTGCCTCCTCTGGAGTGAAAATGTCCTCCATTTATTTGGAGACCACCACTCGGCACAAAGCATCCACTTGTCAGAGTGGTTGCTGAAGGAGAGAGATTTCTTTTCCATATAGTTCCAAATCCAGTGAAGATATAAAAAAGTACACACTGGTGGTAACGGGAAACAAAAGAGTATGTGACTCCAACAGGGACAGCCACTTAAGGCCTAGCAGTTAGACCTGATAAGGATTTTTTTTTTTTTTGCTCCGAATGCCTTCAGGGCAGGTTTGGCTGGATTGAGTTGTGGGGATCGAACCCCAGCAACCTGAGCCTGACTGCTTTGTTGAAGCAGCCACTTAAAGAGCTGAGCTATGGGGCAGGCCCCCAGTTAGACCTGAATATGGCTTGGTATTCGGGCTGCGCAGCTGGTGAGTGGAGAGGGTGGGACACTGCAGGTGGAAGTGTGCATGCCGGGGCACTGTGGGGTCTAATGTGATTCAGACAGATGGCGTGACTGTGAGACAGTGCAGAGAAGCAGGCTGGAGACTGCAGTGTTCTCTGTACGTCACCCTGAGGAGTTTGGAAGCCACCCGAAAAGCAACGAAAGCAAACTACTGAAAAGAATCAAAGACTAACACAATTGGATTTATGGAAGACCAGCCTTAGTGCATAAGGAAGAAAGGGCTGGGACGGCACCACACTGAGCGAAGGCACTTTTGAGTAAAAGAGACCAGAACCAGAAACTTGCTTTTGCATTTGTTAGCTGTGTGCTCCTGACAAGTTCCTCAACCTCTCTGAGCCCTGATTTCCCTAAACACAAAGTAAGGGCAGGACTGTTTACATGCCACACGGCAGCTGCTCTACGCAATGCTCACTGATGTGGGCTGCACTGTAAACTGCGTACCGCCTGCTTAGACTTTATCTAACTCTATTTCATACTGGCTTCAAGGCGTCGGCATAAATTTGATAAACCCATAAACAGATGTCTGCGATATGCAAATTCAGTATCACATATAATTTTAGAATAAAACAGGATCTTTTGGTGATCCTGTCAGAATTAAAGGTTTTAATTAGCTGTCAGGACAATGCTTATCTAGCCCAAGGAGATAAGTAGATAAAAATATGGCACAGAGATTTCAATCTTAGAAATCCAAAAGAAACAATGAAGTAGTGGGTTTGCAAGTTTTTCTACCTATACGATGTGGTAAGAAGTAATCCAGTTAACACCCTGCAGCTTTGTAGAAGATGTAAATGTCTTACTGCAGCCTTGTTTGAAGTGAATGAAATCTCACCTTTATGAAAAAAGGCATGAAGGAGAGTCTAATTCCACGAGCCAAAGCGATGGGCTTCAATTCTTCCCGTAGCTTACGTAATTCAGTCACGTCGACCTCATCACAATACCCGAAGTGCGGTATCCTCAGCGCTGCGGACATGGTCTTCACCATTGCTTTCTGAAAGCCTGGGAGATATTCAGTCATAATTTGTAAGTCTGTTCATGTATTAAAATACAGAACTTAATAGTACACGGAAAGTGAAGTGCTCCCTAGAAAAATTGTTGTTTCACCATAAGAAAATATGTACTGAATTTGAATTTTTCTTTTAGTAAGATTTGAAAATGTCACAGTATAAGCATGCATTTCTTGAAGTAGTTTCTCTAAAAATAAAAATACTATTGCTTTATATTACTGTCATTATTTATTACCTGTTACAGGTTCTATTTTGTCTTTGCCTATGAATACTGGAGGCTTTGATATTGGAATGGGAACAGTCCTGTCTTTTGGTTTTGGTGGAGGTGGTACAATTTCAGCTTTTGGAGAAGGAGGTAATATGGCTCCTGTTTGCTTTTCCAAATAGTTGAGAATATCTTCTTTAAGTATTCTGCCATCTTTTCCTGAGCCAACAACTTCACTCAGCTTAATCTAGAAAGCAACAGAATTTATACTAAAAATACAATTACTTAAGAATAAATATGTATTACAGTTTAAAAATGGAAAGTGATTACTGTTTCTTTTTTTCAATGCAGAGTCTTCCTATATATTCTAGACCTGGAATTCATTATGTAGCACAGGCTGACCTTGAATTGCATGTTGCCTACCAGGTAAATATGAAATAGCTTAAAGTTTGTGCCTGGTTCGGTCTTCATAGTTGATGTACTTGATGGTACATAAAATTTCATTAAGGATATAAAGCATTAGCTGCACTAATTTTTTTCCTCCCTCATTCTGTACCTGCATGAACCTAGTTTTTGGCTACATGAAACAGAGGAAGAGCAGGCATGGTGGTATGCACCTATGGCTAGAGTCTGCTGTTCAGGAGGTTGAGAAAAGAGGGCCACACAGTGAGGCTTTCTCAAAATAAGAAATTAAAATGGCTGAGGATGTGGTAGAGTAACTTGCCTGACACAGACACAAATCTAAACTTCCTATGCAATCTCAGATTTCAGTATCAAGCAAACTTACATTGTTTTCCATTGCTAGGCGACGGACTGCAGGAGTTGCTAGCGTTTTTTGGCCCTTTATCTCTTGGTGTGTATGTTCATCATGAGATACTGCAGGAGTTTCAACAACATCTTCTTCTGAATCTGGTAATAGGGTAAAACTTTAATTGAAATGTATACTATTAGAAGGCTTAGTGGCCTATATCTAAAATAAACTTTAAAAGTTAAAGTCTGTAGTCAAAATGTTTGACTACTGTAGAATGAGAAAACACTTTCCGAGTGGTTGGCGTATAAAGGGGGTAAGTGGCAATACCTGGTACTGTTTAAGTAATTGAACCTAGGGTATTTCTCATCTCGTAGAAACATATGAACGTTACAAGTTAATTTGAGAGTTTCTTCCATGCGTTTTCATCTTTTCTTCTTTTTTTTAAATGTATTTTAATACATGGTCTATAGGGTTTCACTACACAGATTGGACTTGTAGTGATCCTCCTGTTTTCAGCCTCCCAAGCACTGGGATTACAGGTGTGCGCTACCACACCCAATCTCAATTGCCATCTCAGCACACCCCGGGGTGGGGCTGGCACAGCACGCTGGGAACTGAACCCCAGTCCTTGCATCTGCTTAAGCAGGCACTTTAATCTGCTGAGCTATCTGGCTGGCCCTCTTGTTTTGTTTTTGACAGTGTCTCACTAGGTAGTTCAGGCTGGCCTTGAACTCACTATGTAACTCAGGCTGGCCTCCAAATTTCAGTGATCCTCCTGCCTCAGCCTCTTGAATGCTGGGATTATAGGCATGTGCTACCACATCAGCCTTGTCCATAAAATTTTAAATATAATAAGATTCTCATTTGTATTTATACACAGTATAAAATGAGAATCAAATATGATGTGAACTGTATGTCTCCCCAAGCTTCCTGAGATCCTGGGTCAGGCTTTTTAGAGGTGGCTGAACCTAGAGTTCGTGATTGGCTCATTGTCTAGTGCTAGAACCAGGGCTACACCCGCCCTAGGGCAGATAGCCTGCATACAATAAGAGGGAAACCAGTCTTGCTCCTCCTCTTTTGCTCTTGTTGCTTTTGTTGTCTTCCACGCCATGAGCTGTTGCCCTCGCCAGGCCACCCTGCCCTGGAGCCAGCAGATTATGGACTGAAACCTCCACAAACTGCAAGCTAAATAAGCCTTTCCTGGGGCCAGGGACATGGCTCAGTGGAATAAGCGCTTCCCTGGCAAGCGCAAGGGTCTGAGTTCAATCCCTGGTTCCACTAAAAAAATAAAAAATAAAAAAATAAATAAGCCTTTCCTTCCTTAACTTGGAGATTGGGTATTTTGTCTCAGCAAGGAAAGAAATGTAACTAAGACACTTAGCTTCTAAAATTCTGGAAACAACCTATTCTACGTTGATATTCAAGTATTATTATTATTTGGTGGTTTTATTATTATGATAAATCAGGGACTTCACACTGAGCTATATCCTGAGCACTTTTTAATTTTGAGATGAGCTTTCGCTGCACATAGGTACGCTTCCCAGGCTGGGGTCAACCATGTGGCCCTTTGGCCACGGCCTCCCGACACACGGGGTGGGATCGCAGGCCATGTGCCATCATGCCCAGTGATGTCCAATTTTAAGTAAATAAAAACTTTCCACGGATGCAACTGTGAAATGATAGTCTACTTATTCCTCCTCACTAGTCTATAGATTGGCCCAATAGAATTCTCAAAATTCTCCAAAGGGGACAAAGGGAAAGTAAAAACAAAGAAACCTGCTGGACACCAGTTCTGCACTACTTACAATATCTTCATTTCCTCTCCATCACCGTTATGTAGGATAGACACTAGTCCCCTTTTATAGACTGAAAAAAAACGAGGCTTGAGAGATATAGAGACTGGCCAAAGGTCACACACAAAACAAATTAAAGAGCTGAAATTCAATCGTAGGGCTGACTCAGCCTGAGCTGTTTCTATTAGTTCAAAGAAACTAACAGACAATGCATATTTGATGAAATAAAGGAAAGGTGTCTATTCTCAAATGTAACATGCAGCATGGTCAGTATATACTTTTCAAAAAGACTAAGCACTTTGCTGCTGCTTGCCTTCTCGGAAAACATTTAGATATATCACTTATAGAGGGGTGCCTAAGAGAGGAACTTACTTGTGATAAGTCACTCAGTAATTATTTATAGCTATTATATGAAGTTATTGGAAGAAAGCTCTCTTAATAAAATATTACCTTACTGCATGGCACTTCAAATAATTTTTACACAGTTTCCCCTTTGATGATCACAAAAGTGTTATAAATATGCAAGATGTTTAACAGTGTAGAAACAGCCATGTTAGAGGTATAGAGTTAGAATTAAAGTTAAACTTCATGGTGCTTCTCAATCGATGTGGTTTCAATGGCAGCAGTACACTCTAGTGCATGAGATTTAATCTTTCATGTGTGATCTTCAGTTGATGAATAGAGTACACCTTAAGAAGTCTTACTACAATCTTAAGGAAGAACTTTGGTTAAGTAACCACCTTTTCTCATGAAGCCTCATGTAAATTTAACAGAAAAAAAATCCTGACTTAAAGCAAATATACAATAAAGTCACATTATTTCAGACTAACTTAGTAAAAGAGTAACTGAATTTGTAAAACTATGAAAACTGAAGAAATGCAATATGCCTTGGCATTTCAAAAACTCTTTCTAAGAACTGTATTTAGTAGTCCGACTAATTCAATTACCTGGGGGGTTGGGGGGCAATGTGCTGAAATACCACAGCACACATTTGTGTTTGGAAGTTCTTTCTTCACAGCACAAATATAAACTTTAGTTTGGTGCCTGTCAAAATGATCATAAATTGAGAATTAATGACATTCAAACTAATGAGATTTCATTGCATTTTCTTTCTCAATTCAAATTATTCAAACAATAGCTAGGCATGGGTCCTGCATGCCCATAATCTCAGCACTCAGAAGACAGGAAGGAGGGGATCACTGAGAGTTCAAGGGCATAGTGATGAGAAAGCAAGGCTCTGTCTAAAAAA